CTATTTCCCTTACACTTCTTGTGGTATAAGGGTAGCGAGGAGATAGTTTTAAGTATTTTAAAATCGGTGCAGTCGAGTAATTTTTTTCTCTCGGCATGATCGTCTCCAGCAACACCAAGGAAACAGTTTTACATCAAATTAAATAATGAAAAAGCGGAAAAGTATTATTCGGTGTCAGTAAAATGGCGACTCCTTAGATAGCTTCAGTATTAGACCTTCCTTAGGGGTTAGGGAAGAGGAGATTTTAGAGTGCGGAGGGGGAGGGGGAGGGGGATGAGAGAGGAAGGCGTTTCTCTCCTTTCATGTCACCCTCTCCCTTTTTCGCTTCTTTCTTCCCTGTTTACCCCAGAAACGCCTTATACTCAGACTACCCTTAGATGCCATAAGTCAGTGAATAGAATAAAGATAACAGAAATGAAGTAAAATAAAACAAATTAAAGAGACATAAGTATGGCTTCATTGGTTGTTTTTTTAAACTAAACAGTCTAATGAACATCGCTCTAGAAAGTAGCTAATACAGTAACTTTTCTGTGCTCAAGAAAGTTCCTCTTTAAGACTGAACTTTTCAGCTGACGTACAGTTTATATTGCTGCGATCTAACCGAATGGAAACTGCCTTGGCTGTAGAAGACATTTTAAAATTTTTACAAAAGTTGTACATCCTAATCCTTTGATTGGTGGGAACGAGTTCAATTAAAAGGAAGCGGCCGCCTACACGAAAATACCGAAGATAATCGCGTTCTGATGATGGAAAAAGGAAAATAATGTTTGTTATCAGTGTTCTTCCGATCAGTTCTCACGGATTTTAATGTCAGAAATCCAACAGAACATTTGGTTTCACGTCACTAGCACGAATGCGAATAAGTCATGTACTGGACATTTTATGACGGAAATGAAAAAGATTAACCTTGCAATTTTTGAGGCGTATAAGTACTTGAGACCCCCTCTTGCATTGGGAATTTTAAAGAACGTTGGAGACGTGTTAGAAGCTCTCCCCTGCCGCTGTTCTATCACACTGTAATGGGTGCGTTCGATTAATCCTGTTTAGGGAAGGAATTCGCAAAAGAGATTTCTACCCTGATTTTGGACCCAAAAACGTTATATACATTCATTTCAAGCAGAACTCGAGATATTGTTTTGCAGTAATTGCGAAAACAAGTTATTACTTGAGTTTATTCCATTTATTTTTTATTCCAAAATACAGTAAGTCAAATGTGCCGATTGTTATCATCCATACAAGACGCTGTTTGCAGATAAGAAGGAGAGCATTCCAAGTCCTGATTCCGTTCTTTAAAAGTTTTCTGGGTTTCAAATCCTTCTTGGGTAATGTTGAACTGCAGGCAATTCATGTTTGACCGGAGTAATCGGCTCCGGTGTATGATAATTTATAATGATTGTTCCTTTTAATAATTACCTAATATATAGATTTAGCCAGGGCTAAAAGCGAAGCTCCCATTAATAAATCTATATTTTAAATCAAACAATAAACTTGTAATCCACAAATCAGTTAACTTAAGGGCACATTCATGTGACTTTTGAGGGAAAGGATAAGTTATTTTAGAGTGAAACATCTTACATCGAGTTGATAGCCTAAATACACATGTATGTACACCCAAAAAATAGCAAACATCTTCTATCACATTCAAGAGCCATAATGGCTCTTGATCACTGTAGATTAGGCCTCGAAAACAAATTCTTGGAAAACAAATCAGGCCGCATTTTTTGCGTTCGACAGGTTTACTTTACAAATTCTTCACAACAAATCTGAGGGTGTGTAAACCAACCTTTTACACTTTTTATACATCACATCTGAGGTGAAACAGTACTTTTTATCATACAGACCTCGGACAGAATACGGCATTTCACAATTTTTCAATGTTCAGGACAATCAATCGTGGGCTTTTAGCGAAACCGTTCAAAAAATTTCCAAAATCACCCATACGGCCAGCCGGTTCTCATTTTTAATGC